TTGCAGACTGCATGGCACCAGACCCAGAACATCCTCTACAGTTCTATGACTGTTGGAGGCCAACAGGTCATACAAGGGGCGTCGTCTAGTCAACATCTATCTCAAGAAGACTACGTCCCTTCCCAGGCCACACAGTCACATCGGGCAAGCCATAGACCGACTCGCGACATTGGTGGAGGTCGAAGACGCCGTGCCCGCGAATCCGCTGGCAACACTGGGTCTGAGGACGACGAATAAGGTGATAATTTTTTTCATAAAAAAATGTTTCTTTTTTTATTTTGTTTTTTTTTTTTTATTTTGTCCAGTCGAATTTCTAATTGATTTAAAAAATTAATTACTCAGATCAAGAAGAAGAAGCTGCCACACCTACCACGACCGCAGCCTCGTCTTCTTCGGGACAAAGGCCTCCTAGGAAGGGGTCCCGACAGCGCAGACCTCCGAATACATACACTCCTTCCTAGTTAGTTTGTGTATTTTGTAGTATGAACTTTGTAGACATATTTGTTTTGTATTTAAAAACCGTATTTTGACCTTTTACGTTTTATATAGTGTTTCTTGAATAAATTATTGTGGTTGATTGTTTTTTATATAGTGTATGTTTGATTATTTTTTGGTGAATTGATAGATATGAGTTGGTTGGACAGGTTGATTGATTGGTGTATATTGGACAGGTTGATTGATTGAACAGGCTTATATTGTATTTTTTTTAAACGAAAACGTATGACGGGAATACGCTTTTATTTATTAAACGTATTAATACGTTTTATTAAGAAATTAAATTTAATTTAGGGCAAAATTGGTTTAGGGCAAAATAGAAATAAAAACGTATTTTCAAAATACGTTTAATATTTTCAGAAAATTAAAATTTACAAAAAAATAATTTTTTCAAAACTCTAAAATTTATTTAATAAAAAAACGTATTCACAACATACGTTTTAAATTAAAATGTATTCTACTAATAAGTTTTATTAGTAAAACGTATTTTGGTAATACGTTTTAGTTTATGTTAATTAATATTAATTATCTTAATTACGTTTTTTAATTAAAACGTATTCTACAAATACATTTTAACATTGAAAACGTATTCTCGGAATACGTTTTAAAATAAAAAAACGTATTCCGAGAATACGTGTGTTTTATTTTTGTCTACATATTTTTATTTTTCTTTATTTTTGTCCACTTATTTTTAATTTTTTTAAATAAATAATATTTTCGAAACATTCAACCATAGTGAGTTAACTTCCAATCAATAATAATAGAATAATAATTACAAATGATTGTTACAGCAACTTAGAGTATGATGCAAAAGGAAGACAAAAAAAAAATTATTATGTCAACAATAATAATGATCATTATGTTAAGCATAACGACGATATTATTAAATAATAAAATCGAAGAAGACATAAATTTCTTTATAATTTTAAATTTCACAAAAAATATTAATTTTAATTTGGATTTTCAACCATAGTTTTTAAACCTGGCCCGGGAATCGACCCGGTCAGGTCTCCGGGTCACCGGGTCACCGGTTCACCCGTAGAGTCACCAAGTCAACCGTCGAGTCACCGAGTCAATTGTTGAACCGAATAATTAATTTTAAAAAATTTCAAATTATATAGAGCATTTTATCATATAAATATATATAAAAACTAACAAAATTAAATGTTGTGTATATAAGATTTGTACATTTAATTTTTTTTTAAAATGTTAATAATATTTCATGATAAATTTTTACCATATAAATATATATACATAGTTTTATTTGTTATAAACAATAAAATAATTTAAAAAATTAAAATATATATATATATATGTGTGTGTGTGTGTGTGTTTGTGTGTCGGGTCATCCCGGTTGACACAGCCGGGTCAATGCCCCCAGCCGACCAGGTCAAGGCCGGGATGGACAAGTTTTGACCGGGTTTAACCGTGTCCTTTGTTGTCCGGTACTAGCCGACTCGAACCGGTTCCAACCCGCCGGGCCGGTCCAAGTCGAATAATTATGTTTTCAACCGGTTAATACTATTAAATATTGTAATTATCCAATACATTTATTATTGTTATCATAAAATACACCATTTTTTTTAAAATAATGGGAAAAATTATAAAATACTATTAAATTAAATCTAATAATAAAAATAATTTTAAGTAAAAAAAAAAAGGCTACAATTTGATGTGTATAGCACGTACATCTTCATAGCATTGTGAAAAGTGTGAGTACAATTCCGTGCTGAAAATTTGTGAATGAATAGTTTACGTGAGAGAAGTTCATATCATACCAACCTCAACAACGCCATAAATAGCCGGTAAATTATCCATCACTTGCGAAACAAAGTTTACCAAAGCAAAGAAGCATGGCATAAGCCTGAAATGTAGCCCAAACTACACGTTTTTTTTTTTTCAATTATCCATCATTTGCAGACATTACACTGAAGTAAATTCCTGCCTTCTATATTCCATATGCATAGGACGGGGCAAGATTTGAATGACGAGCCAACATATTTTGCTTAAGTCAATCAATCAATGGCCATGGGAGTAATGCGCTTCTTGGTGGCCTTACCTGCAGGAACTTCTGTGCTTGGTGAAGCACGACTTTCGTCCTTACTTTCATCCTTAGCCTTACTAAAATTCTCGGCCATCTCGTTTCTACCACGAGTTTCCTCCTTACTTTCATCCTTAGCCTTACTAAAATTCTCGGCCATTTCGTTTCTACAGTCTATGGAAGCACCTTGACTACTGACTTTGATAGCTTCCGGAATGGGTCTCACATTTGCATCACCATTGACATTATTTGCTCCTACTTGATAAAAGTGTTGTTTTGGTACTTGGACATATAGTGATATTATATCGAACAGAGAATAATTGTAGGAAATGCATACAAACCTGGTAATGAAATAGGTGAGCCGAGTTCTTGATTTTCAAATTCAAGTAACGTGCAGTAACCATCTTGAGAGGACAATGCCAAATAATTACCAGCAGGTGACCTATATGAACAGTACCTATTCAGTTATCGAAAATTATACACCACGGTTTGTGAAAGTTGGGAGAATGATTTCATTAAAAAAAATAAAAATAAAAGAACCAAAGAAAAAAGAGGAAGTACCATGCGATGTCTGTTATGGCAGCATAATGAACTCCGGCTACAATTACTATCGGCTGAATGCTTTCAGTGTCGAAGATATATAATGAATTCAAAGTGGCCACAGCAAAAATATAGCGATAGGGGAGCTTGAAAAATGAAGCTATACAAGAAAACAATAGAAAAAAACTAAGGAAAATGATTTTTAATTCATTTATTTTTAGAATATGAAAGCAAATTATTTCTCAAAGTGTTCATAAGGTTCGAATAATACACGAGTTTGTTCCATGCAATTTAAACGCCATGGGGCAAAAGCGTACAGCTACAACAGGTTTGCTGGCACCAGGAAGCATAAGTGCGGGCCTGCTTTGGAACACGGCAAGATAGTAAGAAGAAATGATTTGTAAAAGAAGAATAGAGCTTTACATCGTACAATTGAACATTCATAAACAATCGTGAGTTATAGCGAGAGCTAAGAAAAAGGTGTCACCAAAAGAGGAAGCTACAAATTGACCTAATCAGAATCTAATATATTGATTCTTGCCTGGAGAGATCCTTCCGTGAAAAAACATAAGCTGTATTTACTAGTTCCGAAGTAGGTGTGCTTTTGTGAGAACCTGAAACGAAGAGTGACATGAATCTTGAACAACTGGCACGGCATTTTCTCTATGCATCAGTAAATACATAAAACACACTTTGAAATAAAAAAACAAATAAAGTGAAGATTGTTTTAGCTTCAAAACTTTCATTTACTCAAGAAACATATCATGTTACTAAAGTTGCGAAAGATATAAGAAATTTTCCAAAAAATTGTATCGCTTATGGAAGTGGAAAATGTTGTAAAGAGAAAAGTGAGTAGATTTGAGATTGTGAAATGTATATAAGATAAAACAAAAATAGAATGATCAAAGTTGATATCGTATACAGAAAAGTAATAATTAATCATGATTTGTAATTAGAAATATGAGTGAGTAAATAGTGTTTATAGTTTGAATTTTGAAATATATAATAATGGTCACTTTTTGTTTTATAATTGTGTTAGTTGGATTGGAGAGAAACAATGAGATGAGATGAAAAATATTTTTTGATAAAAGTTTTTGTTTCACGTCCAGTTTCAATTAGATAAATCTTGACTGACCAGACAGAAACTTAAACACTTTGTATTCAGATGCCACTTAAACCAGATGAAACAGATTTACATGTTATACCTGCAGGTACAAGTAAAAACGACCCGTCTGCCGACCAGGCTAATCTTCGAAAAAAAGATGGCAGAGTCTCATCATGAAAAAGGTGGCTTTTAGCAGACTGTTTCAGAAAGTGCAGTAATGCTGGTTATACACGTGTCTCAAACCATGCATGTATAATAAATATACTTATCACGGTTACATGGTCTTAAAACCTTGAGCTCATCTGTTGTCTGAGACTCTGCCTTTGAGATGACATGTTGGCAGACATAACTTGCTTTCTCAACGCCTTTTATTTTTACTGGCTTATTTATATAAATCCGACAGGTCCTATCTGAACTGAAGGATGCTGCGTATTTCCCTAATGGGTCCCACGCTACACCTTGAACGTAATGAAAATGAGCATCTAGTATTTGGTGCACAGAACCTGAACGTAAACAAACATCAGACTGCAAAAACTGCATTCAAGTTGACCATGACAATGGTGCAAAATTTTTCGTAATTGTCATACCTTTATTAGCATCCCAGATGATGCATGAATTATCAACCGAACCAGAAATCAGATATGCCCCATCAGGAGACCACTGCAGGTCTAATACATCCTTACGATGAAACCTGAAGTAGCTCACAAATGAATATTAAGGAAGACCATCAATCACTTCAGTTAGCGGCAATTCACTCAACGAATGATTAAGCTCTCAACTCTATTCCAACTGACATGCTGAACAAGCTATTTCTAACAGTTAGATTAAATTCTTACACCAATGACTTGAGGACTTTCCACACTTCACCAGCTTCAGTAACATGTGATTTCCATATAATCAGTTCGCCACCTGCAAAAGGAAGTTATCTACTCTAAGGCATCGTGACAGCTTTTGAAAACAAGAATCAAAGGGGCAGCAATTAGACTATGACACACAATTACCTACCATCAGCACCAGAGGCGAGCTGCTCTCCTGCAATTAAAGAGAAAATCATATGCTCATATGAAAAGGTGAAAAAAAAGATCCAGCAACATGCATACATACATACATGCATAATTAATGCATTTTTTCTAACTTCTACAACAGCAGCAAAAACTATTGTATTTCTTTCAGCCCCAGCTTAACAAAACAAAAGCCACGATTCAATACTGGCTAATGAGATATAACGACATTAAATCCTTCTTTCCAGCCATCACTATCAACTGGAACCTTGACAATAAGATTCTCAACCCCCACATTCGGGAGAAAATCAAAACAAAAGAAAAAGGGACAAAATGGACAAGGAAATCATAGTTAATTGGCACTTAATTGTCTAAAGCAGACGGTTCAAGTTATCCTAAACCTTATAGCATTTAAAATATGCCCTGACATTATAAACAAGTATTTAGGCACAAAAGATAAGCCACAGAGGTACCGACCAATGCCCCCCTCCTAATAACCATAAACGGCAATGAGGAGATGAAAATCATACACAAAATAAAACAAATGTTACTAAACAGATCCAGAAAATCATGCACACCAGATGCTGTGTAGAAAGGTTCTGTTAATGCTGATATGTCACAAATGAAAGCATTGAAGATAAACTTATTCACATCATTGGAACAAAATGAGGGAACATTTACTTTTCAAAGATAACCGAAAGGAAACTTACCGGAAGGAGAGAAGCGAATTGCGTTAACAGCAGAACTATGGTACGAAAGACTGTTGTGATAAGTGACTCCAGGAGACTTCTTCTCATCAATGCCAGAAACTGTTGCCCAAAGCTGCATATTTAGCCTTTCTCGAGTTATTAATAGCAAATAAACTGAACTTAGTACTGCTTTTGGCTCTTTGGGCTAATACAAAAGCCAATTCTAACTTTAATCACCATAAATTTCGCACAAAAGCAGCGTATGTATCCAAGATACTCATAAGAGTCGACTGAGTTCAAACACTGCCCTCTTATGTGATCAACGTACACATATTTTGTGGTTTAAACTCGAATTCATTGATGATTTAGCACAAATAAACGAAGAGTCAGAAAAGTTAGTCAAGAGAAATTCGCTCAAAGCTGTCGCCCTCGAAGTGCAATTACCGACTTTTTAACTTTCATTTTTTGAAGCGGCAAAGAAATTCACATTTCATGAACGATATTAGTGGAGCCAAAATCGAGCGAGACTGTGGCTTTCACATGGACAAGACGAGTAGCGGGTCAATTAGGGAAAAGTTACCTTAATGTCGAAGTCGGCGCCGGCGGTAGCCACGAGGCCGGAGAGCGGATGGAAATCGCAGGCGAGCACCGGCTTCGTCTCGTGCCAGTTAATCTGAACCGTTCCGCCCCTCATTTCTCCACCCTTTTCTCTAATTCCTCCTAGCAGATCTTGAAAATGTTAGCTATTTTACTTTCTAATATTCGGTATTTTTTTCCCAAGATATTGTTAGGGTTTGAGCGCTGCGATGGTCGAGAGTGTGCCTAGAGAGTTTTTGGCGGGAACAAGTAATCGGAATGCGTTGCTCGACTCACGAGTCGTAACTCGTAAGCAATGTTTTTTCAACTCCAATCCGGTCAATGTCCTGCGGTGGCCTCCGGGTGAACAGTCGAGTAAATAAGTATGCTTGTATATAAAAAATTTTTCGACTCAAAATTTAACTCAATTAGTACGAATCTCGCTCAATTAGTACGAATCTCGTGCGATATACGGTAAGAGATATTATTTAATATTTCTAAATTAAAAATGTTCATTAAATAGTATTACAGTAAAAATTATAGAATCAATATGTAAAATAATTTACCTATATTAATTTATTAATAATGTTATATGAAATTTAAATTGTATAAAATTATATAAAACATGTTTATTTAAATTAGCACACAACTCGTACGGTGCACATAACTGACAATAAATCAAATTATATTCATTTCAAAGAAGTGTCATTTTAAGATTTATATTAAAAAAATTGATTTGAATACAATGTGGTTAAAAAAAAGACCCCAAATCTCCAAAGTATGCAAACCTAATTTCTCGTGTTCCTCTTCGGACCTTCTTCCTGTGCGTGCGCCTTCCATAGTCGAGCACCGTCGGCTCTGGCCAGTGTGGTCTTTCCCTTGGTCGCGTGTTGATGTCGTCGCTGCGAGGAGGGAGTTGGATGGCTGCCAGATGAACTCCCGGTGTTGTTTTGAGGTGGTGTCCTCGGCTTCTGGTTGTCACGGGGGTGATGTGGATGTGCTTTCCAGGGATGGTTGCGGCTGCGGCTCCGGCTGCTCGTCATGTGGTTGGGGTGTTGGTTCGGCGGGTTGTCCTTCCCGGGCTCTCTTTTCCCTTGGTGTTGGGGTTAAGAGGTCGACGGCGTCTCCGATCTCGATAGTGGTGTTGGGCGGAGTTGGGGAAGCTGCGGTTGGAGGGGGAGTTTTTGGCCGTCGAGCCACCGGCTACGGGCCGCGGTTCTCCGCTCGGACTCGGGGTTGTTCTTGGGGTGTGAGTCCAGTTAGGCTTTAGGCAGTTTCTAGAGCGACTTCTCGAGGCGTGGCCCGATCTGGTGGATTGGTCAACTATATGGCCGCCGATGCGTTTATTGGTGTTCCCCGGTTGTGGAAGGGTTGTTTCTTGTTTAGTTTATTTAGGTTTGCTTGTGTTCGAGTTGGGTGTGTTTGTTAGTGTTTTTGTTCTTGGTATTGTGTTTTTGTTGTTTGGGTCTTTTGGTTTGGGTTTTCTCCCATGTGGGACATGTGTATTATCCCAGTGGGATCGGTGATTCTTCAGTTTTTAAGCTTGTAGTTTTCTTTGTTGGGTTGTGGGTGTGATTATAGTGTTGCTAGTATAGACCTTATGCGAGCTTCAGATTTGTTATCTCAATTTTTTCGACTTTTGGCTGGTTCATTCAACTATGAGTTGTATCTTTGTTGCACTTTTTGCCTTTTGTTTATAATATCTCTATCGTTTTGGGAAAAAAAGTACAATGTGGTCATAAAATAATTATTTTGGCAATATTTTATCATATATTTTAAAATGTATGTGAATGAATAAAAGTATATATTATTGTTTCATTAAGTAAAATAAATTTAAAGTAGTTGAGTATTAAACTATAAATAATTGACTATCATATTTATGTCTAAGTTAATATTGGCCTGTAAGTTATGAATAATTACTTATTTGCATTTTAAATTTGATATACAAATTTGGACTACACAATGAATCTTCGTATATATTTATATTTTACTAATCTCGATTTTTTCTAAATTTGTTGTCGGCTACCTTGTCAATTTATCAACTAATTCTCTTGTTAATACCCAATTTTG